CTCGATCTCTCCTGCTGTATCCATGTTCAGGTTTTTAATTCCTTGCCCCGTTAAAACCAAGCAGAGTTATTTGAGTTTACATAGAGACAAAAAAAGGGGATTCGGGTAAGGTCCTACTGAAGGGGATGCCGCTATTATAGTCATGTTATACAGTATATAGAACAAGTTAAACAAACTTTGTACAAAATAGTTCTCTGAGGCGACGAAATCATATGTCAAACTTAACCCTATCCGTACGACCTGGGGTCATTTCGTATCCCCGGGGTTGTATTCTTCCCATTTTAGAATACTTTTAGTGTGAAGATCTCTATGTAAATTTCAGTATTCTCAAAAAATCATTTTGACAGACTGCTATGCAAAACGTACGGATTTGATTAACGAGTAAATTTCCTCTACTGGTGGCACAGAGTTCCTCACGTTGTATGGATACCATAGTAAAACACGACGTACGGATAGGGTTAAACTCAAGTTTAGACAGGTTCACTGTGTTATGTAATTTATTAATTACCCAGCACCAGTGATTGCAAACTTCCATTGCAGAACTTTATTTCTAAACAAGGGTCATGGTGTTATGGCATCAGCTGGGGTTCCACTCACAACCTGTAACTGATTATGAAGGAAATCTAATACAAATGCCATCAGTATAGCTTATGGTTTTGCAAGATCTTTTGGTTTCTCCATATATTTTTATATTCACTATCGGGATAACAGAAAGAAAGTTATTCAAATTCAAGTCCCATTATCCTATATTTTAAGATATATTACTGATCCCAAAATATTTCAACTCCGTAACAAATTAGATTGACTCCCTATTTACATTTTACTCTCTGAAAATGTATAGCTTTATAATAGCATTAACTTGCATGGCTTGCATTCTCAAGCATTTTCCACATAAAACTAACATAGTGAATTCATATTATAAACCCCCCCCCCCCCCCCGCGCCCTGGGCGCCACAGGCTTTTCGTTGGCAACACTTGGAAGGTCAAGCGGGACAGAGTTAAATCATACACCAAAAAGAAACAAACGATAGCTATTGTGTGATGCCTTTTTGATCAAATTGATTTTTTTTAAAGCATATATATTAAAGTATAGGCCTACCAGAGGCTTGTTCAGCTACTAAATTTGATCATCAATTCAAATCTTTCAAAAATACCATAACAACCTCCCGTTCCCCCCCCCCCCCCCAAAAAAAGGGCCAGAACTTAATAAATAGTAGTAGCCTGCAAAATATTTATTCAACTTTCACTTTCACATACTGTAGTAAGCACTCCACAGAATTAAGACTTTAAAATGCAGAACAAATGCCCATTCACTATTCAAAGCTCTGTGGTCAATCAACGACAAAGGAAAAATATTTTCCACTCATCATACTCATACATGTGTATAAAGTTTCAATGGTACGGTGAGCTTATAAATTTTCACTAAATATGAACATTGTAAAACACAGCAGATTCAAATGCTACATTATATTAGTAATCAAATGCCACAATGCAAAATGAATGCTCATTCTAATTGCAACAAAACACACAATGTTATTTTAAATGCCGCATTGGTGAATCGGACGAAAATGTGACTGCATGCAGTTAAAATACCACATTGCAAAATCAAATGTAACAGTTGGGTAAAGCAACTAAAGTTCTCAGCAAAAGGCCTACCTATCTATTAAAAAATTAGCCCAAATGAAGAACAGCTTCTGTTGGATGCCTACTAATACTACTATTATCACTATACAAACAATGAGCACTATCTTGACTCAATCCCATCCAAGACCCTGTTCTCAAAATCACTCCCTCTTCATAAGAGAAGGGGCATTGCTGAGCTCCATACAAAATTAAACAAACGTTTGTTCACAAATCATTTATAAAAACAGACATACATGATCAAAATATTTTTAAACCCTGCAAATCAAAATATAGACTAAAGCTGCAGGTACGGAAAGACCTCGCCAAGCCTACTGTCACCCTCACATCATTGGAATGAGACTCCTTTATAATTAATATCAAGACCACCTAGCCATGCGACAGTAGTTGATGTGGGGGGCATAGGGGGGTTAAATTTACACATTGGTTGATCTAGGTGGGAATGAGTTGAAACAATTTCATGGAGATGCATAGAAGTGTTCGCTTTGCTTCTGTTTTTTTCCTCTTATGTGTTACATACAGTTGAACCTGTGTAAAACGGCCACGCATTGTCGAAAAGAAAAGTGGCCATACATGAATAAGACAGGAGGCAGACATACAAAGGACAGATCAAAATGAAGAAAATGGTTTACCAAAATGAAGAAAACAAACCATTTACTCTGAGGTCCCAACTGGAGGTTGTTGCAGGGTCAGGACTGCCGTAAGGTCAATTTAAAATGTTAAAAATTTTGTTGCTGTTGTTTTTTGTTTTGAAAGAGGGGAGGGGAAAGTGAGGTTTTTGTGGGATTTTTTGTTACTAGTTTAATTTTTTAAAATTATGATTTCATGCAAGGATAAAACAAAACAAAATGTGTTAGACAAGGAAGATGGAATGACATAATAAACAAACAAATGGGTAGCCACCACTCGGCAAACAAGCGACATTTCTGACGCAAGTTTTTATTGGCGTCCATTGTTGGCCTAAACAATGACCTCTCATTGACCTCTAATTTCACTTATGATTTGCCTTCCAGTTGTGGAGGGGGCAATTTAAGTTATGACACAACATGATCATTGGAGGGACGAACAATGTGAATGGATTACATGTATAATAGCTTGTCCACAGCGTCAGGGACCAAATTTATGACAAAGTGTCGGGCAATGTGAGATTTGCCAGGCAATCTCAGACAGGATTTTTTGGTGGTCGTCATGGCAGGTTCAACTAAATTATGTTTATATTTTCAATTCCCGGATCCTTTTCCATTAAAAAAAAAATTTAAGCTTGCAATATATATGATGACATTTGAATTCCTTTCAAGTGAAATTTGAATCTACAATACAATGTCTGCATTTCATCAAACAATTTCTTTTGCACATTTCATCTTACAATTGTCCTATTTTAAGTTGCATGTTACATTTGAAGTCTGCAATAATTTTGATTTTTGATTTGGCTATGTGGTATTTCAATTCTCAAATGTTAACATTTGATCACGAAAAACTATAGAGGAGTTCAGCTCGTGGAAAATTCAGTGACTAAAGCAGAAATATGGAACATGTCCATCAATAAAATACAACATACTACTGTTGCTATCAAGACATCACAAAAACAAAACGAGAATAAGTAAGGAATTTAAAAAAAGTAGAAAGATGGATCAAACATAACATAAGCACCACATACTTGGGATAAAGTCTTTCACTTCCATTAATCTTTTTTGTTACTTTATTTTATACTTCTCCTAAGAATGTAAGTACATTTCTTGACTCCATTAGCACCTTTCATTTGATGGTTATTTATTTTATTTCATGAAAGCTTAATAGCCATACATTATACACTGTTAGGGTGAAAGATATTATGGGACTTGTTCTCACTCATCAATTCACGAGTAAAAATTGTGCAAACAAAACTTTAAATGATACGCAATACCCTCTTGTCAATACAGACCCATTTTATCAATCTTATGAAGAGCACAATTATATTCCTCTATTTATTTATTAATATTATCTGAAAATGTCTTCAATACCAAATTCAGATTGATCCAAATCAAATTAGAATTCACACAAAATGTATCTGTAATGCAAACGGTTTCAGTTACAAAATAATAAATTCGGGAAGGCTTATTTTATGACAGAAGTCTGAAAAATGGCCAGATCCTGTCACTCTACTTCTGTTTATGCCTTCGAGAGGTAAGGTTTTGTTAAACATGTTTCTTTAGTCCCTTAAGTAACATTAATTAAAATCCAAACATGATGATAAAAAGCATGTCCCATCAAAAAAGAGACATTTGAAAAATTGCAGAGAAAGGAGAAGGGGGGGCGCGGACGGAGAGATTCTCAGATCTGGCCAGCTGGCTCTAGACACCATGGATAAAAATCGGACAACACAGATAACTCAAAATCACAGACAGCTCTTACTATTAATTTGTCATCCCCCTACTGATACCTCTTAAATTTTTTGTTTTTGGTTCATCCAAGTTATGGAGGTGTCAAACACCAGTCCCCCCATGTGTCTGAATTATCCATGCCAGACTGTAAATATGTCCCTCAATTCTCTCTTTGCCACAAGCCCTTTTTTGTTAACCCTCAAAGTGTCAAGACGGGCGAGCATCGGCCATAAGGCATAAGGGGAGCGGCTGGGGTGTCACAGCCGATCTACAATATGCCATAGAAATATTACAAATCTGAAAGCAAAATATGAAAAGGTTGATGAGTACGACACTTGAATAGTAGTTTATAAGTGTTTAGTTTCACTACTTGAACTGTTTTCAAGACCTAGACGTCTTCTTTTACTTTAGCGTTTCGCTTCCGAAACTTGGTGAAATTTGAGCTGTCAAAACTGTCAAATCTGCGCTTTTCTTTAGATCTAGAGATCCAAACTTGACTTCAAAGACATTTGAACCCCTATTAGGTTCCTCTGGTTCGTAAAATTCAAGTTTTAGAGCTAGATCCAACTTATCAAAATTCTTTTCTGGAAATCAAAGGGACGAGGAAGATGATTTTGAAGGAGAATACCACATCAAAGTGATGACGGTGCGAGTTCTAGCAAAGAAGAGGATGGAGTTAGTGTTGGATATAAAGGTGATGATGTTTGGCACAGAGTACAGGAAGATTTAGACAAGTATAGGCCTTGTTTGGACCCAAATTTCACAGTTAGAAATCCTAAAAGTAAAAGACCCCACAACATAAACGTTGACATTTGCAATGAACCAATTGATTTTTTTTTTTCACTGTTTATGGACGATGTAATATGGACCATTCTCCATTATAAAACCGATAGAGATATATGCTAGAGCACATCACAGATCACGGTTTGACTCCTAAGACGAGACGCAACTAAAGTCAGTTTAACAACACAATAGTATTATATAAGAGACGAAATTTCACATGATTTTACGTATTTGTTTTTATTTCATTTGTATAAAACAAGCAAAGTCTGTACTCAAAGTCAAAGTTCATTATCGTGAATTTATTTTTAGAAAATGACATGACATGCTATAAATGAAAGAGTACAAAAATGCTATTTTACATCACAAACCCATATATACATTTTTGGAAAGCTTATAACATGTAGAATATATGCTGAAAGGGGTCTTAATAGGCAGTTTAGTGAAAATTTCAAAGTTGTCTGATATGCTTTAACTTTAAAATACTTTCATTTGAAAGCCCTTGCCTTCATGATCATAAAACAGTTTAAACGGTGTTGACTAGTTAGAAAGTTATTGTGATTTTTCATTCCTAACATCCAGCCAATTTCAGGCCATTTTTAACATAAGAGTTTTTGTGACACCAAATTGCAACTTAACAACACAAATAACTAATACTCTTCAAAAAATGCATATATATATTTCTAAAAGTGTAATCCAACAATTTGTTGAGAATTTTACATAGAATTCACAAAACCACAAAACACCTCTATACAAAGTGAAATAAAAAATTGTTTTATACTTATAAGGCCTACAGGTGGGCTACAGGGTCATAAAAAATAACCTTAAAAAAAAGATAACCTGTAGTTGGCAAAGTGGGCAATATCTTTACTTCTAATGTCATATATATTTAAAACATATCATACATCATTCTCTTTGATATCTTCACTGCTCAAAATTATTAAAGAGTAAGCCAACTAATGGAGCAATTTCCCAATTTTAAGTCAAAGCGGAGAAAATTTGTACCCAGACCTGGAACATCTAATGGCAGATCTAGTCCTAGTCCTAGTACAAGCAACACTGACAGTGAAAATGTTTCTCAGTCTGTCATCGACGAATGGTCCACAAACCTGACCAACTATCCAGTGAACTGCCCCTTCACTGCCACCCCTGGCCTCCACATACCAGATGAAGCAACCATCCCTCTTGATATTTTCTTTTTGTTTTTCACAAACAACATTTTTAGACGGATCAAAGCAGAAACAAATACTTATGCAGCCAGTCAGATCCGTGCCAAGCAAACGCCACAGCAATCAAGACACAGCCTGTACAAACGCTGGAAAACTCTAACAATGCTGGATCTAAAGCAGTTTTTCGCAGTGCTTATCCATATGACTGTTGTCAAAAAGCCATCTATCAAGGACACATGGAGTAAGAACCCTCTTGTACACAGCAGTTATGCGTCAACAATGATGTCACGTGCCCGTTTCAGCGAGATGTTGGCGTTTCTTCATCTCAATGATAATGCCACATTCGTTCCAGTGGGTCAGGAGGGTCATGACCCTTTACATAAAATAAGGCCAATTTACGACCATCTCGAACTTACGTGCCAGGAACTTTACACTCCAAGGCAAGATATCTGTATCGACGAGGCCATGTGCCCCTGGAGGGGCAATATTCGTTACAGGGTTTATACGCGGAACAAGCTCGTAAAGTGGGGGGGTGAAACTATATGAATATGTGAAAGCAGAAATGGATATGTGTTCAATTTTGAAATTTACTTTGGCGAAAAGGGTGTTAGCAACAGACCAGTGGATGTAGTGAAACGTCTTCTTCAGCCTCTAGACGGACAAGGATTCATCGCCCACACGGAAAAATACTACACTTGTCCGTCGTTGAGCTTTGACCTCACCGGAACCGGAACAATGACTGTAGGCACAGCCAGGGCAAATCGTGTCGGTATGCCTCGTGAGCTGGTGAGTTCACAGCTCTGAGAGGGCGAGACGGCTTATCGCCGTAAAGGTGCTGTTGTTGCCGTAAAATGGAAGTACAAAAAAGACGTTCATGTTCTGACGACGGTTCACGACCCGAGAGTCATGATGCAGGTGACAACTCGGACAGGTCAAAAACCAAAACCTCTTGCTGTCCAGTCCTACATTCAACACATGGCTGGTGTTGACAAGAGTGATCAGATGATGAGTTACATGCCCCTCAACAGGAGAACAATGAAATGTTGGAAAAAACTCTTCCTTCATCTGGTCACTCTTGTCATCATTCAGTCACACATTCTCTTTGTTGAGGCTGAAAAAAGAGCGGGTCGTCCTTCCATCAAATTTCCCTACTTCATTCTTCATCTCAGAACAGAACTTACCGCCAGCTTCAACAAGCTGAGCAACCCACCCCACAAGTGCCACCACAATTACCGGACAGACTAAGTGGGAAACATTATATTTATCCACTTTCACCTACCCCTTCTGTCAACAAGCCAAGGCGTGACTGTAAAGTGTGTGGTGACAAACGACGTCAAGCTCGGGGAAATACTGTACCAATGAACAGGAAAAGGGTTGAAACCCATTACTGGTGTTCTGTGTGTGAAATATCTTTGTGCATAGGACAGTGTTTTGAGGATTACCATACCAAAGAAAATTACACAACATAAGTGAGATAGTCAGCCTTGAGGTAGGCTTATTTTTGGTCAACTCCACTGAGAACTCCTTGTCCTTTTTTTTATTTTTCAAAATTAATTATCACTTACATCTTTATGCTACTTCTCTGTACACACTCATGCTTCATTCTCCTGCACACAAACACACATTGCCACAACTATTTTGGGTAAGTTTATTCGAATTCTGCTTTGTCACATCATTTCCATTATGTTCCCAAAAAAATTTTCTGGGGGAAAATTTGTCCCAACTTCCTGTCTTATACATTTTTTTGTCATTCATTCTTCACAAAATGTGTTTATTGTGTCTGTTGGACTCATATCTTATGAAATAGCACCGAAAATTTCAAAGAAATAGCTGTTCATTTCAATTTTTTATGAATTTTCAAAAAGTGGGTGAAATGTGTGGTTCTCTGGGGCTTGGAGGCAAATCGGGGCGTGGTGCTCAGTGAGTTAAGATCCATTCATAAGTAAGGTCAATGTGATTTTTTAAAAATACAAGAAAAACACTAGTGCCCAGGGTTTGGTGGGCCGAAACGAGTCTAGTCTCAAGTGAGTTTTTAAAAAACCCAAAAACCAACAAAACTTCTTTATGACCATAAGTCGGCTCTCTGTCCTTATTTTTCAAAGTATTGTACACTGAACGAGCGCACTCACTAAACTGCCTAGTCTTATATATTCATAAGAAATAAACAGAGGGATATAAGGACACGTTTGTAAACAAAATAGTCTACCATTCATTGTCAATGTGATACAGTCACAGTCAACGAAACTGATTATTTTTTACCCGCAGTAACGTAAAAATATTCTTCAACTCATAAGCTTTCAGAAAATGTACAGTTACCAATATCGGTACCTCATTTGCTATCTTCTGTTGCTATTCTTTATTTTCTTATCTTTACTCAAACACCTTATATCAGCCTCAACACCACAGAACATTGTACTGGGCACTTTGAGGTTTAAAGAAAAGGCCATGACATGACTCCCATCCATCTCAAATACATGACACCACACAGGAAATATAATTGTATTTTGACTGATTGTTTCAAATGTACAATATAATTATGACAATTATTGCAAGACAAAGGCAGCAGATGCATAGCTGACAGACGAGTCATGGGTAGTTTCACACTGACTGGATTGGGCATACTTGAGAAACTTGAGCTGCATCGCCGTCCCATTGCTTGTGCGTCTGAAGTGATCTATTGCCTGAGAAGAGTTTTAAAAAATATGAGACAAAACATCTAATCTAGAGGGAACCACAACAAACCAGTGACACCCTAAAATACAAATAGTGGCATGGCTGAAGGCTAGTTAGCCAGCACAATAGCACAACTCTTTGTTTAGTTTCGTAAGAGTTTTACGGCGCTCATAACTGCACAACTGTTCAGGGTATAACAAGCACACACAGAGAGGTCTACAATTTAATAAGTCCACTCATACTCATGACAGCAAACTGACCACTTGTGCAATCAGCAATGTGAAGTGACAAATGTATAAGAGCTTTTTTCTACACTTCTTCACATTATCAACCATTTACCTACTTTAATATTTGCAATACACCCCACTGGCATGTGGTGTAGCGATCACATGCTTCCATTTTTCTCGCTAAAGATTAGAGTTCGATTCCCAAGTGGAGAAAAGTTCTATCAGGTATCTCAGTCTTTCTCCTGGGCCATTCTCCTCCAAGCCCTGCTAAATCAAAACTGTTGATGGGGTGTGTGAAAAGCAGCCACACTGATGTGAATTGCTACATACCCCCTACTTTGTGCTCTCTTTGTGGCTCACAATATTATGGAGAAAAATATTTTGTATTCCCTTTTTGAGTCACTACGGCTGCCCACGTATCTGCATATAACTTGGTAATCGACAAATAAAAATTAGTAATCCGGCTAAAAAATTCGTAATATGTTCATGGATAGTCCTCTTTCCTGGGATATGAATGACAGGGGTAGTAAGTTCAAGGATGAATATAACGTTAACAAAACCCTGGTGAAAGAGGTCTCAGCGTGCTCTTCATTGTCAGGGAAAAAAGGGAGGGGGCCGGGGGCTATTGCTTGTCTGCTTGGCTCTTGAAAAAAATAAAAGAAACCTACAGGACCTATTATGAGCTTTTGATCCTGGTTGTTCATCACAACACAACATGCCACCTGCAGAAGTTGATTGTTTCAAACAATGATCCAGTTTTGTTATTTACTCATTGGCCTAGGCCATCATCCAGTTATCCACAATACAAAATACAGGAATTTTTAAGCGCCTTGTCAAATTAATGTTTGCCTTACTCCTGGCTTTGGCGCAACTATTTTTCTAAGGGCAAAATGGCACTGAGTGACTGCAAGGGCTGTATACACAGAGGGTGTCAGATTTAGACAGTTGCACATGACATAGAGATGTAGACTGCCAGGGTTTGACTGCTTTACTTCCTTGTACACAGAGAGGGTGGTGATGCTTTTGGTGGCGAAACAGCAAATGATTTTGTACAAATTGAAATCAGGGGTGTTATAATCGTATTTCCATAAATTGACCCCAAAAAATGAAACTCATCCGTCAAATTTGTCATGACGGGCAGTTCTGAGTCACACATTGGGAAATAAAGTCAAACCTACTCCAACAGCCACCTGTCCAAAATAATCATCTGTACAAATTACAAATTCCCATTAAACTAAAAACTCTTAATTCACTGACACCATGAACAATCAACCTCAGATCCAATGAAAAAGCTTGCCCTGCAAAGCTTAGTCCTTTTTCTCCCCCGACATTTTTGTCTATACAACCGTGATCATTGCATGCATGCTGTGCATCATTTTTTGCAATGGCTTCATAGTGAAATGATGTCACAGTGTCAAAGGAGGAGTGGATCTGTATTTAACTCAATCCCCCTTAAGGCCCTATTCAGAAAATCACCCCTCTCCCTAATACATGGGGCACAACCCTGAACACATGTAGACATTTTTAAAACTTTGAATTCAAAATCAACCACATGATAAAAATATCAAATAAACCTAAACATAGACAAAAGTAAAAAGTTTTGATTCGTATAGTAGCCAGTGTTTCTAAGCCTATCCTTGCCTTCTGACTCAACAACTAGGTTTTTTCAGTTAGGGGGTGAGGGCTATTTTCAGACCAGAGCCTGAGGAGGGATTGAATTAAAAAAACACAACATATTTCTTACATTGAGGAGGACCCCGATGGGGTGACGACCACATATCGTGTTATGGAATGTCTGAAGATAATTCGTGAAGGCAGGGGGGTCCATCTTTTCAATAATATCCATGCCCTGGAAACAAAAATTCAGAGAAAAACAGCAATGAATCACCATGTCATCCCTTTCATCTTCAACTTCAATGCCACAAGTAAGATAAAATCTTAGAATTAAAGCTTCCGTTCACATCCACAAGCAAGTCTACAAAACCTTGGCCTTGCCGGAAAAAAGGAACTGCCTACTTTTAAAGTAAATTAAAGTAATTAAAATCACCCAAAATATCCTGTGTATACTGAAAGTATTAATGACTAACCTTTGACCAAACAAAATAACCTTCTCTGCAAGCAGCCCTTACTGATGCCTGCTGGTAGGCCGATATATTCTTCCTGAAACAAACCCTAAGGTAACTACCTGCACCCCTGTTTAAGCAACTAATGAGCGGTCTACTCAGAGGTCATAACAGCTAAATTGAAAGACAGGCCCATTAGAACAGTTTGATGCAAGGTTACTGTTAAAAGCGCGGAGGTGCCCCCCTCCCCCCCCCTTCATTTCAAGCTTAAGTCGGATTAAAATACGCTCAAATCTTGGTTAAGCTTGAGACTTAAAATCTGGCAAAGTCCTTTCCACTAGAAAAGAGAAAAGTAGCAAGCATCAGAAAGACAAAATGAGGAACACGATAGACCATTCTAGAAAGGACACAGAAGTGAAAATGATGAACCAAAAGAACCCCCAAACAACCAAAATCAAAACCAAAACAAAACACAATCAAATATTTCAAATGATGGATCACTCTAATTTTAGAAAATGTATATATGTTTATAATTTATAGGTCTACCTTCTTATAGTTTGACTTAACCGTTCCAGTGCTGAGGAGTTTCTAATTATATTTGTAAAGGCAAGACAAAATGTGAGGTGTGCTGACACAATGAGTTACTTCTCGCAACCCATGAATGGAGATATTGGCCCAAAATTGACACAAAGGTCATATTTATAGATTAAAAACCAATGCCATTCTCTTCAAGTTGTAACGTTTCTTTTATCGTTTTATATTAAAAAATTGTACAAACTCAACCTATAAAATTGACCTGTATCTAATTCCATTGCGTAAAATCCGAGAAGTAACTCATTTTGTCCGCATACCTCACAAATTTTAATCAAGAGAGATTCAAACAAATCCCTAGTATATTTCCCCTTATTAAGAAAATAGAAACAAGTTGCAAGTGCCTCTTCAAAAAATTATCCTCTTTATATATAAACTCTTTATCTCTTCGAGGGGGGTAAACCCACTATGCCGTGGCCTTTTTTGGAACTAAATATAAAAATGACGAAAACGTCACTAAATTTGTTATGAAATCAAAACAAGTGAACCTATTTTGATAGTTCTTCATCTAAAGAATAAAATCCTGCAAAAAAAAAAAAGAAAAAAAAAAAAAAAGAAGACCTGTTTTCGGAAAGTCATTCGATGTCAAAGTCATCATAAAGGAATGAGTCCGAGCCACTGCCTGCGGCTCACTGGCACAGTAGTTCCGACCATGAGCCGCTGGGAGCTGCTTGCCAGAGATAAAGAGTCAACCGGTAGGAAAATTGTCAGTGAACCAGTTTGAGAGAACACAAATGAACATAGACCTATAGTTCAACACAGCAGTGAAGAGGTTAATTTCTAACATTTCTGAAGACCCATCAATAATTCTTATAATCACCCCCACACACCAGGTGGTTACTATCAATAATTAGTGGATAAAAGGCGCCCATATACAAAGCTACACGAGGATCATGCTACAAGTATACTCACCATCTTGTCCAGTGCCTCAATAGATTGCCAAATCCTTCCTCGAGACTTTTCGTAATAAGTATAGCTGAACCGTTTACCTTTAGGAAGAGACCAGATTATATCAGTAACCAGCAGGAAGGCACACAGACATGAAACACTGTGACTCCCAACACAAGAAGAGTAGTAATAATAATTACTTTGAAAAATCAGTGGAGACCCTCTGCCAGAAAGTTGAAAGTGTGAGTATCCAGCATTTTGGAAAATGAGCGAAAAGGAGGATATTTAAGGTCTGAAATAAACATGTTAATCTGGAAGTCTAAAGAGTCTGGAAGAATAAATAACCTAGCAGTAAATGTGTATTTTTAACCTTGTCTGTTAAGGTCTTAACTCTTAACTCTTTCCAGACGTATCGCCGATATATTGGCGCGAGTCCACACCCCTTACGGACGTATCGCCGATGTATCTGCTGTGATAGGGTGCCTCAGTATTGTTTCGCTTTAACACGATCCGACTTTTACAATTACTTTTTATTGTTATTGAAAAACTCGGAAAGGATTTAGGAAACGAAAGCATCTAGTTTCACTTTGTCAAAGCATGGGTTTGGGGAAAAATGAGAGAATTAGTTCTTACGGTCTTGCATCAACAAAACGATGTAACCGGACACAGTATAATTATATGATAACTCAAACAAAAATTGGAATATTGCTTTCAAATAAAAATCTGCGCATTTCAGAAATTTATGAATTATGCTCTTGGCCTGTATATGATAAGATAGCTATGCTGATTCGCTTTCACATGTTTGGGGAATGTAATCTTTACCGTCAAAAATTATTTTTCTCATCACCATTTCTAACCCTTCTAATGCATACTTAAGTTCAATATTAATCCTTTTTTCACATTGGGATGTATTCCTCATTCAATTTCCTTCAATTTGATATATCATACGTTACGTTTTGGGTGATGGTCATGCTTCTATGAGGTTATTTTGTACACCACCTGCATAGCCAAAGCGAGCCACAAGTTAATTATGTCTGGACTAAAAAAAAAACCATGTCTGGAAAGAGTTAACTTCCTCTTTCACCATTAATCCCTACGAATTGAATCCTTAGCATGAAAGTCAGAAAACGGACACTGAACCACGAATAAAAAGAATGCAGGTCACTATTCCATGGTAAAGGTTTGTAGCTCATAGGAGCCTGAGAAGTGTCTCCATTAAAATTCTTAAAGTACTGAATAAGATACAAATGAAAACCATTCTCCCACAAAATCCTAATCAATGCAAAATTTATGTTAAAAGAAGAATAAAGGACTCAATTTTGAATCTGTACTGTCTCCATGCTAAAGGATATATGCAAGTGAGGAAACATACATGAAAAAAAGGTTTAAAAAAACTAATTAGGAGGTCATTTTACAATAAGCACAACCAACAACTTCAGAAGTTCTCATTCACCAGTCACGAAAACAGCAAAGGGCTAAAAAAAATGGGGACATTTTGTAGGATTGTGTAATACATGGATAATCAACGCTAATCGTATGGAATAACCTCTCCATTTCAATACCCAGGGCTTTAATTCAAATAAATCCTCCAACCAACTGCCACTTAAAATTCAGGAGAGCTTTCTACTTTCTTCACCAGCAGCCAAAGAATTCACAAATCAATATAACTTTCAGAAATGTACACCTACACAGAAAACTGCTGTGTAAAAACAAATTTAAGTTCTTTCTCAAATCCATTATTTGCATATTTTGACAGACAAATTAACTCTTCCTTTAAAAAAAGGAAGAAAGGCCCCATATTTTGAAACATTTTATGGGGTTTTTTTTCTGATCTTGCTTTTTGTTCTTGTTAGTTTTGCTAAAGAAAAATCTCAATTGTGTATCCTTGCTTTCACCACCAACACTACTGAACATGCCAACTCTGATTGTGATATGGGCATATGATTTGTTAGTAAAAAAGAGATGTGTAATTCACCCATGTGACAGCTCTAAATGTGCTCTGATGTTGAAGGACCATATGGTACAGTCTAGCAATATTTTAGCAAACATACATAGTGAAACAAGCACTTAGCGAACAGATTTTTCAGATCTCGAATTTCTCATGACATACATGTGTATTCTTTGTATTTTAAACACGTACATGTATAGCAAAGTTTACATGTAACAAAGAGAAATGTTCAATCAGCCGAGTTGGGTATGTGCGTGCTAGACTGTTCATATTTGTACTATGGCTGGCCACATTGTGATGTGTAACTTGAACTTAACAAACAAATGAGCAGTACAAACCCCAGTGGCAAAAATCAGAGGAAATCACAAAAAGATTCTCTGGATCACCCAAGTAGGGGCTGAGCAGTTGTCCATATTTGGCTTCTTTCTCAGGGGTCAAGGATCCCACAAGGATAGGCACAATAGTAAAGTGTTCCCTTCGGCTACAGCAGTAGAATAAAAAAAAAGACAAATTCAGTGAGTACACAATAACAATACAATTCTTGTAAGGTTTAGTAAATGCAAAACTATGGCATTGGACGGAGATTAAACATTTCTTATGGACACAATTAGCCACAAAAAAAACCTATAAAATAAAGAGAGTGTGATTTCATCTTGTTTAATTGATCCAACTACCCTCCGAGTTCGAGTCCTTTCAGCCTGTTTAACTCTCTGACTGTCAAAGGTTTAAATCCCAATTTCTACCCTAGCTGCTGGCATTTTAGTGGTGTTTCAAAACATTCACTGTCAGATAACTATTGAAAGTAGACACATTTTTATTTTTCAGTATTTATCATTTTCATATAAAGATTGTTTCACTGAGATGAAAACAGATTTGCAATAGGTGTTTCTTACGGTCGGGGGGTGGTCGCTTGGAAAACCACGTGGCTGGTCTGTCGTCTCTATGACTAGACCTATATCTCCAACAGTTTCCTCTTAGGCTATCTGTTCCCGACGTTTATAGTGCAAATCATTACATTGAGTAAGTCTTTCATCCCCCCCCCCCCCCCACCCCATTCAACGCCGTTGTATTCTTAACCCCGGTCGGGGAATCCTTCACAAAACAGTCTGGTGTCGTCACATTATCTACCAAAATGACCCCCTCCTCCAAGGGAGATCACTAGAGTAATATCGAATTGAGATGACTGCATCCCTTCCTCCCCTTGCTAAGGTTCATGTAAACGCACACTCCGTATAAACACACGCTAAGGAGCCCTCCCGAGCACCGTGCATATAGGCGGAGACTACTGTAATCATTTTTGAAGAAAAGAAGGCATTTACTATTATTCTAAGCTGAGAATATCCAAAGTCATGAGCATAGTCTGAACAAAACAATTTTTCGCAGACCACAAAGGATAAAATGGAACAGGCTAAAAATCTGGCATACCTCTCCATAACTTTTGCAATATAGGGCAAGTGCATCTCTATACTGTGTTCTGCTTCATCAGTGTTCAGCGACATTGTGTCAAAAGCTCCAGTTGAATATAACTCTTTATAGACTGTGGATCAGTAATGACAAAAATATTTTTTAAAGAACACTAAGGTTGAGCTAAAGTTGAATTAAGAAAAACTAATCTCTTTTTAACTTTAGGAAGAGTTTTACGGCACTTGAAACAATAAATATTCCCAAATTAAAATTGTTCCCACGCTTTCTACATGTGATGGCAAAGAGCTTTAAACTACAGGTATTCTAACCAAGAAACAGGGACAATGATTTTGTGTTACCGCCACTAAAGACCCACAGACTGTTCTGTTTTACTGCCACTGTATAGATTTTAAAAAACCAGCAGCAAAATATATGATCATCTTAAATGAGTTCTAAACACTTACCTCTCTGATCAATGGTCAAATCATACAACGGTGTCTTATACGTCTCTGTTCCTGACAACGCACAGTTAGACATGCGAACATGGTGGGACGGTCCAAGAATAAACACCCTCTTCCTGCAATACCAGAAGACAATTGAAAATTAAAATCATTAACCTTTTGCCACTCGGAGGCGCCGATGTGCACCGTCATCGCTAACACCCGTAGTCGCCGATGTGCGCCGATTGCCCTTTATTGTCGTGTTTATTTGGTAAAAATCGATCGAAGCACGCAAGAGCGGCGATTTTTAAAATTTCGTGCTTTTTAGAGACCTAAATCTAACTTCGTGGATGAAATTTTGCGTCGCTACAGGCACTGTATACGATGGAGACTTATAATTGGGATTTAAATGCCGATATCGTCGACCAAGGGGCTAGATCTAGTGCTAGTAGTACAAGTAGTCACTCGGACACTCAGTCGTGAGAGAGAGAGAGAGAGAGCGAGAACTATAGTAGGAGAGCGAACACGATGTCACAGGTCTAGATCTAGGCTCAAGGGGAGGGGAACAACTATGATAGTGATGTTGATGGTGAGATCGTTGCTGGAGGTGATGATTTAGAAGACTCTGATGAAGAAGATAGGCCTAGCACCCACAGCACTTTAGCTAGATCTAGTACTACTAGCTGCACTACGACATAAAAAAGGGAGGAGCAACACTGGGACTGTGGGCTCTGTCAAAACAAATCTTTTAGAGCATGTTGTGATCAGGATACATGGTAAAAAGGGGTCGTGCCACTACTGTGTAAAGACCAGAAACTTTACAAAGCTTGGCAGAGGGAGTGAGACAGTGACAGGATGCAATTTGGGCCAGGTTAGTGTTTGCAAAAGGCTGTGCTGGGTAAAACATCATGAACTTCTGCGGGCATAAAAAGCGGGTTGTGTCTTTTGGGTTTGTTTTTTTCACTTCAGAATTTTTTTTTTTACCTAACACACAATGATTTTTCATACAGAACCATACATTTTCTTGTAGTTGTAGTTTATTCATTTATCTGTGCTCTGACACCTAAACTGTCATTTTAGACTCGTCCTCTGATTTTTTATGATTTTTAAAAATACAGACCTACCACTCTATGAAACCTCAAAATCAGGATCTCACGGAGAAAAAATCGGGATTTGGTGAAAAAAATCGGGATCAACAGCAAATCACCCAGGTGACTGCCAAAGCTGACTTAAAAATTTTCCAGGGGTGTCCATAAATTCCTTGGCCTTTATGCCCTCTGTGTGTCTTCGTTTGTTTGCGTGCGTGCGTGCGTGTGTGTGCGTGCATACGTGCGAGTTACCATTATTTTTTTTGTAAATCCTGAAGCATCCCTTCAAGCACTCCTAGTCCAAGTGTCTATACCCCCCCCCCTACCAATAAGTCCCGAAATACATGAACTTCAGTTGACCCCGTCAACGGACGGTGCCCAACACGTAGAACTCACACGGCGATATGTCACGTGACGCGAATGCGCGATTGAAACAATTTTACTGACGGGTCTGACTAACTGCGCGTTCACACAAAACACTCGGATGAGCGACAGTCGTTCTACTTCTAGGATAACGACCGACCAAATGTACCAACAAATCTCTTATCCCTCATGTGTTCAGACAAAAGCAACGACAACAGCCGTATGTTAGTCTTGTCAGCGTAGTTACATGTAGTTGTGTAAGGGTTAGAAAGACTGTCGCTCATCCGAGTGTTTGATGTGAACGCGCAGTTACCAGACCTCAGACAAGGCTTGTTTTGAAAGTAACAGCGGAACTACGAATATTATCGATTATTAAATGTCCCAAATTGTAACAGTTACCAGGCTATCATCGGAGAATTCTGAGTGCGGGTAAAGATCACACACAACTTGGGGCGAGTCAACTACTAAATGCGGCATCGATATTTCGGGAAATAGTGCTCCGAGTTCCCACTGACAAAAAGTTCAGCGGGTGCTTCCCGCATAAAGGAGAAGGCAGAGTAAGTTTTTAGACAGATCCGGCACAACAGCAGACTGGGACAAAAAATCAGGATACACGCAATCGAAATCGGGAAAATCGGGATGCTTGAGATTTGGGGCAAAAAATCAAGATATCCTGACTAAATCGGGATGAGTGGCAGGTCTGAAAATAATATAGTCATGCAGTCTAAGCGGAGTTAGGTCCCTTTTGCCAGAATTTCAGCCTTGTTGGGCAGGGATAGCTCTGAGGGTGAAAGGGTTAAAAGCATAAAACATAAAATATCTAAATTGAAACAGAAAACCCTCAAACATAAAGATATAAATTGCAAAACACATGGTTAACGAGAAAGAAAGGAACTAGGTTTACAGATTTATATTTTTTCCCAAGAAGTGTTGGGCTACAAGCAGTGAATCGAAGTTGCTTTGCTTATTGACAACAAATGAAAATCTCGAAGACTCAATTTTTGTGGGGGGGGGTTAATGCTTTACGGTGCTCGTAACTGCATAAGGCCATATGAGCACGCGGGATACAAACGTTTTCAGTTGGCAAGAAATCTTGAATTTTGCCTAGGTGGTGGCCAAAGCCTACTGCTATCGATTTTGGACCTCCAAGGGATCTCTAACGTGCGCAACTCGCAAATGCAACCTCCGAGATTTTTTGCCATTATCTGAGAAGGCTAGGTGTAGATCTTCCCTACCATAAGATCAGGGGTGTGGCTGAAAGATAGTTGTGAGAATGAGCCAAGGAGTAGCAGTAAAAAGACTGCAGAAAGAGTCAGGAGCCCAGAGGAGGGGGCAAAGGAAGTGGGGGCAGAAAGTGGAGATGAAATTAGATGACAGAACATTGTTAGAGAGCAGGAAAGGACTGGAAAGGAGAAAATTTATAGAGAAAAAAATTTTCCTTTGCTATCCGGATTCAAACCCGGGACCTATCGAATGAGAGGCGAACATCTTAACCTCTAGACCACGAAAGCCCCCTTTATTTGAATAGGAACAGACTATGTCACCGTGCACATATTATGATCACGCCACATGTAGTTGTGAGCGTCGTAAAACTCTTACCAAGCTAAAAGACTATGTCAGGTATGTGAATAAGTCGTCATGTTTTCAAAGATTTTGGCGAAGGTTCACAAATAATGTTCCCTTGGAACGAGTTACTATAACAACATGTCACAAGGAGTCAAGGAGGGCAGATAACTATTACGTTGAGTATCCACCACAGCTTTGGGTGGCTTTCACAGTCCCAAGTTGTAACATTACATACTTCCAACTTTAGTACAGAACTTACTACACTTTATTAAGAAAGTACACTTAATCAATAACAGTATTCCCATTAGGTAGATATTACTATTTAATAATCAAATTCAAACCTTTTGCAATCTAATAGGAACAGTCATACTAAACAACATACTTACACAGTGTTTGGGTCCACTTGACGGTACGCAAAGGCCCCACAAGCCCCACAGAAGAAATATCCAGCATGACTATGTAATTGAAAAAAAAAGGAGTGTGTAAGTGGGTAAATCTACACGATGTAGAAAAAGAATTTTTTTTTTTTTTAAACATACAGGAATTGGATAAAAATAAGCAACCTTTAAACTACACACCTTCCTTTTCCACTTTTAGAGGTGACTTTAAAAAATGCTGGTATCAGAAATAGTCAGAGGGCTTAATTTATTAGAAAAATACATCATACATTATATTATATTCCTAAAGGGTTTACAATTTCAAAGATTCTATGCTTTCAAACTTTACAACAGCAACGCAAATTGAATATCTTACGGTGCAATGATTGCCCTTGCTGGCTTCATGTTGTCCGAGGCCTTTGAGAGCCAATTTTCCAACTGCGCGTTCAGCTCTGCTCCTGGAAACAGAATTTACAAAGACACTCAGGCGCATGTCCTAGAAAACTTTAAAACTGCTTATTCTTACCTTTATTTTTGCTTCAACATTTTTTGTGATTGGAAAAATTTTAAGAGGATTTATATCTTATTTTACAGAAGAAATTCTATAAACGACAGATTCCTATACCACACTGAGAACAATCATCCAGTTTGGTACATTTTATTCACGCTTGGTGGACCCAGTATAAGAAGAAAGATTCACCCCTCAGATTTCCTGATTCAGTACTAAATATGGTTTCCTGAGACTGTATTGCATGCAGTCAAACTTGTCCACCAAGAAAACCACCCATTTTCAGGACAAAAGTGGTTGTTTTAGGTGGACGTGTTGGACTACGTAATTATAAAATGAAAAAAAACAAACAAATGCTAAGAACACTTGGAAGATGTAAAGTTTTGTCCTCTTCTTGTCAACTGGATACCAGAGACAGGCGCCCCTTGATCCCACCACACATGGGATGACCATCTGGAACAAACCCCCCCTCCAATATTGGGATTTATTCTTCTTTGACACCTGTCTCAAGTTCAGATATTCTTAATTCTATATATATACTTTTCTTGTTCTTTTTTATAACTGTTTTACACAAACTTCTACTACATATTCTGTGGAAAGCTGGCAGATGCTCTGGTGTGGTTTACTCCTTCTTCCTTCCACATCTCTCCTCCTTCTGTTTAGTATGTTACTCTCTTGTAACACCTCTTATCTTCCCTGCACTTATAAGATGACCTAATTCTTTTGCAAATGCCATAAAACTTTTTTAAAAAATTTTTAGAGCCATCACACATTATCAGTTTTTGAAACATTTGATGTTTGTCAACAGTCAAAAGGCCCAGTGGCATCGAGCAGTAATTTATATTTCTTTTCAAAATTATCTCATTGGCCTAGGCTGTCACCCACAACATAAAAGCGCAGGCAATTTGCAACACCTTGTCAAACAAATGTTTGGCCTCATACTGCTGGCTTTGGTGCAACTAATGTTGTTCCAAGAGCAAAGTGGCATGGAATGACTACAAAGGCTCTAAGCACAGAAAGTAAAAAGTGATTTAATACTTTTAAAGTTAGCTGCACCTGACGCACAAGACAATGTCAGTCTGATTGTTTTCCTTACATATTCGACGGGAAGATGAAGATGGGACGGGGTAGCAAAACGGCGAGTGAGTTTTTAAAAAATCGGAATTAAGGGTGAAAAGGTAAAGACCACACTCACAGCATTCAGATAAATATGGGGGGAAAAAACGGTTGCTGACAGTTAGAAAGTACACAGTAATTCTCCATTGTAGGGGCTTTACGTTTCCACTGGCACAGTATTATTACGTACAAATTTAGGAGGTGGGCTGCCTTGGCCCTGACTGTCAGTGGTAAACCTGTGCTGAGCTGGATAAACATACCTTTGCAGTACTTGAGATACAGACAGGAGCAAATGAAGTCTCAATATAACGTTTCTCTTGGGTCCTCTGTGCATACAACACAATAGTGAGTCTATGGTATGATATTAGAGATGGTTGTAGTTCTCCATCCCTTTCAACACTGTCAAAAACTTTTTTCTTCAATGCGACTGAGCAAAATTTGGCTGCAAACAATGAAAAGTTACTACAAAACCAAAACGCATCTACTTTGTAGCCGAGTTTGTTACGAGCTTGTTCGTTTTAGTTAGTTTTAGTAAGCGTTTTACGACACTTGCAACACAATAAGGTCATATTATAAGAGCTGATGACTAGGTGCTACAAGAGAATAACAAATACAAAAAAGAAGGAGGGGAGATAAAGACGATAGATTTTGATAGGAAAGAAGAAGCAAACCATACCAGAGCACTCGCCAACCACCCACTTAGTAGGCCTAAGGTTTGACAGCGCTCGCAACTGCATCAGGTCATATAGCGCCAAGGGGTGGACGTTAACAGTGAAGTCTAAACGGGGAATCAGGCTTACTCTCCTTACCTCTCTAGCCTCAACAGCACAAGGTCTGCTTCGACTATCAAGGCACCCTGGAAATAGCAGTTCACAGGAGAGTGACAAACATACAAAAGAAGAGGAAAACTGACGATAGTAAGGATGAAGAAAGAAAAACCAGCTGTTCCCCCTATGTTGTTCCGGCACAGTATGAGCTTGGATAAATTCTTTTAAAAATAATAATTTTCAAGTTGTAACAGTTCTGCCAAATTTCCAATTTTGAGCTTCTTTTTATTCCCCGGATTTCTCCTGTTTATTTTCATTTTGATCCATTTCCATGTCATGGTGTTTTCTCAACCAGGAATTCTGAAAACAAAATTCCTGGCTTTTTTTCCACTTTCCTGATTGTGGAAACCCTAAACTGAGCCCCCCAGAACAGCGCATCTGCATGTGGGTGTGAAAGTAAAATTTTGCCCAAAATGGAAGATTTCTAGAATGGAATAATTTTTTTCCAGCTCCCTTGAGATTCCATCTTGGACAGTTTCAACTACTGTGGTAGCCTGTAGTACAGGCTCAAATTCAGTTAGGGTAAATTTTTACTTTCACTCCAGCACACAGAGATGCACTGCTTTGGGGGGTCAAAGAGGAGATCATCACAAACATGGCCAGTGAAACTGTAGCTTTGTTTTTGTACCATAGGTGTTTTACAGCACTATCGGCTCAGATTTGGTCAAAATAAAATGGTCACAAATCATCAATAGGGTAACTTTTTACTGTCAATCCCACAAACAGATGCACACCTTTGGAGGGTCAAACTGCAGTATTTTTTAGCTGCAGATCACACACACAAGGCCACTAAAATTGTCGATTTTTGTTTGATTAGGTGTTACAGCACTATCCGCTTAGATTTCGTCATAAAACTGTCGCAAAACAACTATTTTCAAGAAAATTTAGAATCACTGCAAAACATCAAATTATGGCGAAAAACGGGTGTATGCTCCACACCCTCACCCTGTAACCCCCCAGATTTTTCTTTCCATCAGGAGGGCATATATGCCCCCTCAACCCAACCTCCCCTCTGAGACCTCTCTCCAAATCACAGAAATTAATTTACAATGCACTATTTCTCCGAACGTTCGGGAAAATAAAGCTGGGCACTATTTCTCCGAACGTTCGGGAAAATAAAGCTGGGCACTATTTCTCTGAACACTGTGAAATTAAAGCTGGGCACTATTTCTCCGAACACTCTGAAATCACATCCTTTCCCGCAAATTTCGGATATTATATAGATCTATAATTATAGTATAGGCCTACCAAAGATTGTTTGTATACAATATGATTCAATCGGTCCAAAAAATGTCCGCAGTAAATATTTGTATAAAGAAATGCTACAGTTCCAAGCAGTTTTTCGCTACATATATGACGTGTTGCCTATGAAGGGTGCTGCTCTTAAACCTAATGAATGTGTTGTGTTCACTCGGGTGCTGTCTAGATCTAGATCTAGATCTACGGAGGGTTATTGATAATGACACATAGAACTAGCATCTGCGTTTGTCGCGGCCGCAACCAATCAATTGTGGCTCGATTTTTGGGCATTTTTTGGTCCCCGAATCGGGGAATAAAAGTCAAATTTAAAATTTTTTTAAATGAAAGAAACCGAACCTCTTTACTTTTGAAAGAAAGTTCACTTAGCTTCACTTTGTCTTTCTCACTTGTTGTCACCACGTTGATTTGTTGAATACGTTACAGTTACTTTTATTTTTCCCTCTTTGTGGTGTTTTATTTTGTTAGTGTGTATTTTTTTCTTTCTTGTTATTGTTCTGATGTGTTGTTTTTTTATCAGTTTTTTTTTTGTTGGGGAAAAAGGGTGGGAGGGGGGGGGGGGTGCGGATGTTGTATAGTGTAACATCATTTAATTTTATGTTCCTACTTTCATTAGATTCTAAATACATATACATGTATACAGATTTAAATGTGTTATGTTAGAGCGTTCGTTCCACCAAACCCGATTAGATCTACGTGTACTGACTCTGGCAGGCCCCTTAATGTGTGTGATTCCATAATTTACATGTAATATCATGTACTTTGTTTTAAAATTGCACACATTTAGGGTTAAAACAGCCAATCTTCTTCGGACAGGTGGACTCACGCCCTTATTTGTTAATTTTTGTGGTTGTTTATGGGCTGTTCTAATTTTGATTTCATTCTGTCGTGAAACCTTTCTTTTTCCCGTTTTTACACTCATCTAAAAATCTCTAGACTAGCTCTTGAAAACTGAAATATATATAGACCTAAAAATTTGCTCCTGTGTGTGTGTGTGTGTGCGTGTGTGTGTGTGTGTGTGTGTGTGTGTGTGTGCATGTGTCTGTGTGTGGTAGTAAGTGTGTAAGTGGAGAGTGAGGAGCGTGTGTGTGTTTGTTTTTTCGGGCTTTATTTCAGCCTTTATTCAGTAACAGTTCAAAGTATACAAAAATAGAAACACAGGATCCATTCACTCCAGGGCTCATGAGTCGTTCCTCTCTTTCATTCATTCATTCAATTCCCGTGTTCTCTCCCGCGGCTCATCCCCGTCCGCATGACTTTCACACCCCACCCCCTCACTCCAGGCACACACAAAGAAAATCTCACTCATTCCCTTGCACCCTGCGAACCATGGACAATAATATTAGCAAAAACCTGCCGTAGCCGCATTCCTTTCGTTCGTGCGCTGTGGACCAGGCCAGGGGGGTCGGTGTCGTCGCCTTGTAGTTGTAGTTGCTGTCGCCTGTGATACACTCGTACATTCTTCCTTTCACCTGCTCAGTCACTCACACTGTCTCTCCATCCACAGCTCAGCTCGTCATACGTTCAAAAGTTGCCCACTAATCATGTTTAGTTAGTGTGTGTATAAGTTTGTGTGTGTACATGTGCATGATGGTGGTGGGTATGTGGTGGGTGTTACTGAAGGTTGTCTGTAGGCGGGCTTGCCATGCCATGCGGTGTTCGTTCCCAGACCAGAGGCAGAATGAAAGTTGGCGCTGAACTCTCGCAATAAACAGGCTAGGCAAAAAATCACGAGACCGGAAGCCGGAAACCGTTCGGAGAAATAAAGATCGGCACTATTTCTCCGAACGTTCGGAGAAATAGTCACTTCGTATTTTTTATTCTTGGAGGGAGGCCAAGTGTGAGTTCAAATATTAAAAACCATTGCCAATGGGCATACAGTCGAACCTACCTTAACGGAAACCTGTCTTAACGGAATCTCCCTGCTCCCCCTTGATATTTCTTCTTTTTAAACCTGTATAAAATGGAAACCTGTCCAACATGGAAACAGAAAGAAAAATCCGCTCCCTTCCGAGGGTTTCACCTGTCTAAGATGGAAAATATTTAGCCCGCTCAGCACTGATTTGAAACAAAACTCGCTAGATCTAGTTTGGTTCTGTCGGCTCTAAACTTAACTGCTGCTGGGCGAGGAAGGGGAGTAGGGGTGCAATTTGGTGGTAGATGTTACCCCATCATGTGAACCCTGAGCGATGCTGATGGTCAGGGTAGTGAGGGTGTGAAATCTCATGACTGCCCGTAAGCGTGCTCGAGTACCGAGCTACTACCGAAACTTTCTTTTATAGATCGAGCCAGAAGCCAGAGGTGTGAAATTAGACTGACCAATGCCTGCCGCCCGGATCGTACGGCCAGCCGAGGAAAGAGTTCCTCGAATCGTTGTTACATGATGGCAGTGAGGGGTGGCATTGGTTGACTGTGCTCGTTACACCGATGGGAGGGGGCTAAGGGTAGAAGCAAAGGAGATGTTCAAACGTTTCTGTTTTGAATAGGTCAAATAGTGGTCCTATGAAAGGCAAGCAGAGGTGGTAATTGGACAAGTAAGACTGATGCATGTCATAGCAATGGAGAGGAGTGAAGTTTTGACCACTGCTTGCAGATCGGAGCGATCCTTGATCCCACTGGCTGGGCCATTGAACCCCCCCCACACACACACATTTTTCCATCTCACCTAAACTTCTCCAGGGCCCAGATCACGTTATGGCTCTGCCTGGTATTCTGCCTATAGGCCTACTTGGTCCTTGATCTAGATCTAGATCTAGACTTCTATGACTATGACATGACAAATTTGCCAATCTAAATCTTCTAGATCTAATCTAGATCTAGATTCTAGATCTAGAATTCTAGATCTAGAAATCTAGATCTACAAATATAAATTTGTTTCATGTCAAAGATGGACATTTTCTTTGCCAGAGCCAACATTATTAAAATAAGTTGAGGAAGGGAATTACTTACCAGAGTCGCTATACCAGCTTCCAGCATGGCTAGCCTTCCTAACTTTACCGTGCCTTGACATTGTTTTCCCGATTTTGCAAGTTTTCGAAGAGTACGCTGTATCAAAACATCAAGGTACAATCGGCTCAAAATTCCTTTGTTGTTGCTTCTGCTGGGTGAGCGAGTGTCAGTGAGTGACATCCAGATTTTGTATCCCATTGCTCGTTTCGTTGTCAAACCCGCTAAACCAAGCATCCGTAATTTTTTTGGTTGGAAGTTAGCCTAGGTGAGAGTATTCAGGCCTTTGCTTATTAAATCAATGCGGTACCAGACTGCACTGACAGAAACACATCGCTGAATTTATCGTTATTTTTGTTAGAAAAAACGAAAGTAAGATACATACACTTACTACAGAGAGACAGTTTAACAAAATAATAATAACCCGACAGAGGCGCCACCCATTGTTGCCAAGACGAATCTGCTAATTAGTATGAGGTAGATCCATAGATCTATAGGCTTTATAGGCCCCTATCGTCGAAAAGGTAGGCTACACCAATCAATTAAAACTGAATATTTTATGGTTCACATTGGCCAACTTCCTGCCTTCAGCTATGTATGAGGGTGATATTATTGTTTTTAACGATGCTACTATTTCCTAATTACCAGTGAATTTACACCATTCCTGCCACCAAAAGGTTTACTTTTAATAGGCCTACTAGGTTGAATGTAAAATTTTGTAAATGGGGTAGTTCAAGGGGACCGGGGGGGGGGGCTTAGCAAAGCGGTAAATACGTTAGGGTATTGGTCCCTAGTCAAAGTAGGCCTAATGTTTTTCTTTTTTTTTTAGTTCGCATTCTGAAGTGTAGGCCTATGGGGCACTGGCAACATCGATGAGCTTACACGTACACGCGAAAGTTGTAGAATCTCCCACTCAACCTGGGGAAATTATTATTGACGGATAAACCCCTTTTTGTTGGCATGCGGTCACTGTCGGCCACTGCTCTCGTAACCTCTCGGAGGAAGCTAAATATTATTAATAATATTATGTTAGAGATTCAGGCCTACAGGAACAAAGGAACAAAGATGTCAACCTGAAAAGAAAATACAAGACACATTTATTATTGTTTTCCCTCTTCTTTTGTCTTATGATTTACACATTTGAAGTTATCGTCAAAAGCATAAAATAAAACCGCTGACGAACGCTCGGAAAATTTGTTTTTGTTTCTAAATCTGTCTCGGACTCGGGTTTTGTCGGTCAGCGTTCGGCTGGTGCATACAACAAACGCTCAAGTGTACCAGTAATATTATTATTCTTATGTATTTCTGCAAGCAAAAGCATTGATTCGAAGAGGCCAGAATGTACGTAATATAAAAAATTTAAAAGAAGGAAGTTGTACCCAAACGCTACCCACTGCTGCCTTTACTACTATACTAGCCTAACCTGCTACTCCTTGCGGCTCCTTCATACTTGGATTTACTTGGATTTACTTGGATCCAGAGCTAGAATCATAGCAGGCGGCACATGTCCATAGTTGCTCATCTCTCCTTTCCAGCGTCCGCCTCGGGTCTTCCTGCTAATTGTCTCCATGAGGAGCTGGTTTGAGACACGCCTGACCACTCCTCCGAGCAAACTTTTTTTCGCTGTGCCCCGCACACACTTTTCTTTTATTGTGCTGAGTGTGTGGGAGTGTCTCCTCTTGGTTGTGAAGGCTCTCCTTGCATCTGGCGATCACCATTGGTGGGTCGAGCATGATTCGGCCATTGGGTGCTGCTTTGCCGGCAAGTTCATCAGCACGTTCATTTCTGTGCACCCCGGCGTGACCAGGGCAGAACACCCATGTAATTCTTAGGAGGTGGCTATTTGCAATGAATGGAAGCTCTCCAGTCACTGTAGAGCCACCCACTCCTGATTTTTTTTAGGGTGCTCATCGAATATGTGACAAACAAGGCATGTTTATACGCTTCCATGCTGATCCATTCCAGCGCCTCTGTTATTGCCTTGACCTCCATTGCCATGCTCGACGTAGTGCACTCGTAAGCTCCAGACTGATCTTTAATTATCTTCCCGTCAACTCGAGCACTGAACGCCCACCCAAATTTCTGGCCACGCCTCACTGTTCCGTCGGTGAAGACGACAACATCACCCATCACTGAATTTTCCTCAAGGATGGCCACAATTTCCGCATTAGTTGCACTTGCTGGCCACTCGCGACACTCTCGGCCTAGCGTAGCTATCACCTTCATGAAGTTGCTCATGTCTTTCTCCGGCCTCATCCAGTCACATCCTCTTCTTATGTCCTCGATTTCACAGCACATATCGAGAGTTCGCCCCGCCTGCACCATCCATGAAGATCCTCTTTTCAATCTTTGGCGTACGTCTTGGTTTCCGATTTTCGGATGTAGAGGGTGACGTTCGTCTGCTGTTACTCGAAGGTAGGCCTTGACTTGTGCTAGCTTGTGTCGGTGGGTTAACGTTGGCAGGTCCAGCAGATATCTCATCGCTGATGCTGCTGTGTCACGGGTGCATCCAAGAACAGTTCTCATTCCTTCATTTTGAATGACTTCGAGGCGATGTAGTTGGGTTTTGGATAGGGTGAGCATACCAAGGCCATAGTCCACTACAGACAGTACAACCGCTTGAAGCATGATCATAAGGGCACGTTGGAGCATAGATGCAGCCACCACTCTCAGTGCAACAAGTCCTTTCCTTGCTCTGGCGATAATGTTTGTCACATGGTCTTTTGCCGAGAGGGTGCGGTCAAAAGTAATGCCCAGGTACTTCAATTTCTCTTGCCTTTCCAACTGCGTACCTTGTAGAATCTATATTGACAGTAGGCATGATAGCCTTGACTGCCCCGTTGTTGAGACTGGTCCACAGTACCCCTGCCTTCGCTGGATTAAGTTTTCCATTGTTCTGTTCGCACCATTCACCAATTCGATCTAATTCCTTCTGCGTGCTCCTTGCAATCAGCTCCCGATCTCTCCCCAGCCTATATACCAATACATCATCTGCAAAGCTTAGCGTACGGCCTGGTCCCTCAAATTGATTGGCTGTAAGACCGATGGTGTATATATTGAACAAGACTGGTGACAGGGCCGATCCCTGGGACAGTCCTGGGGTTATGGTAATAGGTTCAGAAGCCCAGCTGCCAAGGCGCAAGGAAACCTTTCTTTTTAACAAGGCATTTCCTAACCAGATCACCAATTCAGAGTCGATTTTCATATTGATTATAGTTCGCATGATCAAGCTAAAGGGCACCCGGTTATAAGCATCTTCTAGATCTATTGCGGCGACTAGTGTCTCTTTTCCCTCCTCAAAACCGTCGTATATGTCGGAGGCCAAAATTGCCGCATTCCTCCAGGTGTCATTACCAGGGCGGTAGCTGCCAAGTTCCACAGGTATCAGATTGTTGCGCTCCAAGAAATTGGACATCCATCTGGACACCATTTTTTCCATTAGTTTCCCCACCGTGTTTTGCATTGTGATAATCCTGTAGGACTCAATTTTTGTGGGGTCCTTCCCGGGCTTTGGTAGGGGTGTATGGTAACTGTCCAGCCAATCCTGTGGAACCAACCCGTCATGCAAACTAGTATCCAGGATGTTTGCGAGACTCTCCAAGTTGTGGTCATCCAGATCCTTGATGTGGGAATAACGCACCCCATCTGGGCCTGGTGCTGTGTCAGGTGCCGTCTTAAGTTTAATCGAACAGCCTCCAATGTGACTTTTAACTCTTCCTCTCCTTCCCAGTATCTTCCTTCTATGTCCCTTAGAATGCTCGTTCTTTCGTTCTCATTGTTCTGATTTGTTTGCCGCAGGTATCTGTTCAAAAGAGCCTATCCTTTCTCCTCTTCCGATCTAACCCATGTACTGTCCTCTGTCTGAAAATCAGGAAGGCATGTTCTTGACTGACTGTTCATTGCCTTGTGAAACCTCCAAAACTTTTGTAGGGATCTGTCACCAGTAATATTCTGGCAGAAGTCTTCCCATTTCTTGTTTTTCTCCTGCTCTGCTGTTTCTTTAAAAGTCTTTGATGCCTTTTTTGCCTTCATACTGCTGTCTTTCAGCCACCCCCAAACTTATACATGTATTATAATATAGGTAAGATTTAACACGCTAGTCTTCTCGGATAAGGGCGAAAAACCTCGACAGTCCTGTGTGCAAGTTGCGCACGTTTAAGATTCCGTGGTTGTCCTAAAATCGATATGAGAGAGTAGGTTAATTTCAGCCGCCACCCAGGCAAAATCCAAAAATAATGTACCAAACGGAAAAAAAGTTTAGGCCCAGACCTAATGTGTCTTGCCCGCTCATGACTTTATGCAGTTGCGAGCGCCAGTACGCTTACCAAAAATATAATAATAATGATAATAATAATAATTAAGATAAGTCTTTATTGTACAGATTCTGACACATGGTTTTGTGTTTATTCACACACACACACACACACACACACACACACACACACACACACACACACACAAACACAAACACACACGTACCTACTGTCACATCGCACACACTCGCGAGCGCAGTCCCCGAAAAAGCAGCGTTTGGGGACTGTAGTCCTCCACGTACAAACGTACACGTGTATGACCTCCAATGGGACTCAAACCCATATATCGTGCATTTTCATCACTATCTACGGAAACGCTGTTCGGGGGCTCCAATGGTCTAGAGGTTACGGCGTTCGCCTCTTATTAAATATAGGTCCCATGTTCGAAAGGTCCTGACAGCGTCGGAAAATTTTATTTTTTAAAAGATATTCTCCTTTCATCTCCTGTCCTGCTCTCTAACCATGTTCTGCCGTCTGCTTTCGTCTCCACTTTCTGCCCCCCCCCTTTTTTCCCCTTCCTCTGGGCTCCTGCGTCTTTCTCTCTCTCTCTCTCTCTCTCTCTCTCTCTCTCTCTCTCTCTCTCTCTCTCTCTCTCTCTCTCTCTCTCTCTCTCTCTCTCTCTCTCTCTCTCTCTCTCTCTCTCTCTCTTCTGCTGCTGGTCCTCAAGCTACTGCTGCTGTCTTTCAGCCACATCCCTGGTTTGAGGGTAAGTGATAATTAAGATCTAACCTACCAGATAAAACTGCACCTCCCCTCGACGCTTAACGGCAACACAGGATGAAAAAGAAAAAGAAGAAGAGAAAAAGAAAAAGAAGATCTAACACCTTGCCTTCTCGGATAAGGGCGGAAAAATATTAGAGGTTCAGTGTGCACGTTGCGAA